CGTCTCCGCTCTGCAGTCCCGTCCCCTGCTCTCCTGGGTGGCGAGGGGACCTGCCTGGCTGCAGGCTCTGAGCGCGCAGTTGCGCCGAGGCGGAGCGTTGGAGGCACCGTCCGAGAGCTGGAGCTCAGGTTCTTCCTGCGCTTGGCAAAATCCAGTTCCCTTCCTCTTACTGTAAAAAGGTGTGTGGGTGTGTATGGGGGGGGGATCGGGATCGGTTGGCTTCTGCGGTTAGTACTGAACTCTGTTGCAGAGCTACTCTTCCATTTAAAACGAAGTTTCCCATGCTGCTGTTTTCATGCAACAGGCTTGTAAAGGCCGAAGTACTGAGCGGGCTGTTGCACTGCTGCTGTACAAGGCATAAAGTTTACTGAGTCGCGTAGTGGCAGGTGTATTCACGCGATTGTCTTTTGCTTTATGTGCTTAAATGTTCAATGTATTGCTAGTTCCTAGGGTCTTTTTAGCAACCGATTTGTCCTATCGCAAGGGGTTTCCCTTGGTGGTTCTCCTTTCTGTATCTGAGCAGACTGATCAAAGCCACACACCTCTCCTGGGCTGCTTTTCGGGGTGTATTCAGGCTACTGTGTTGCTAACATTGTAGGAGCTGAAGTTTCCACAAGTTGGAACAGGTCCCCTTCTTCCCCTACCACCCCGTCCCGAACATGTGTCTGGAATCCCTTGACTATATTCATTACAGGCTACTTTGTCATGGGAATGAGGTTATTCACTGATGTTATCATTGTGTTAAGTGCAATACTCAACTTTTTTTTTTAAAGATACCAGGAGTAAGGTATTGAATTAAAAAACACTAAATGCAGATAAGGGGGGGGGGGGATTCGTGTGTGTGTGTGTGTGTGTTTATGGGCTTGTTTTACGGAATAAAATGTGTTGAGCACTTCTTTCGGTGAGACTTTAATCTCTCAATTAGCTGCCTCACTCCTGTGTGCACTTCAGCTTCTACCATTGATGTAGCTGTACCACTGGTGACTTCCACCTATGAAGTTTTGCTAGTGAAGGCAAAGCTTACGAGAACTAGGTGTTGATTCCTCTCTACTAGAAGGGACCATTTTTATGCCAATTCCTCTAACAGTTTTTTGTTAACTGGTCTGCTCTTACAAAAAGGTTAAAACAAAGCCCAGCTGAATTGAGGATTTGGATCACTTTTTGATTGGTGGTACACTTAAGGTTTGTTACTTTACACCTGTCTTCTACTTAAAACAAAAAAATCACCACCACACCTTTCTTTCCCCTCCTCCTTGAGAGCCTGTAATTGTTAGTACTACATAATGACAAATCCAAGCTTACTTCAGTGTTTTAGCCCATGTCGTCTGTTGCTTTTCTTTCTGAAAATGTTTGTGTATGGGGTCAATAAAAGGAGCTTGGGAATCTTAGAAGGGACAGATAGTAGCTAATATGAAAGTTGTTTTCACACAATTCTTTGTGTGATTTCTTTAAGCAGTAAAGGAATAGTGATGGGATGAGAGTTTGTAACAAAGAGGAATTTCAAAGTGTATGATATTGCAAAACTTTTGTTAAGTTGTGACCACAACTCAGATGCCAGGGTATCAAATCTAAGATCTTTGTGTAAATTTTATTAAGTATTTCTTCTGAGGAACTATCCTTCTGCACAAATGCAGATTAGCTATGACAATGTATTGTTGTTATATCCTGGAGTATTTGTGTCTCTGATTTAAGGTTATTTTCTGTGGCAGCCATGTGGATTGCAGACAAACAATGCTGATCATACTCAGTCCTGTCTTCGGAAGTTCTCATTTTTTGTGGTGTTGAGACTTTATTCTTAGCCTCTTCAAAAATCTTCAATGTTTCCTACTATGCCATTACCTTTTCATTTTTTTTAATGAATTTTATTTTAATTAAATTGTTACACGTTATACCAATGTTAGATTCTCATTTTGGTTACTTATAGCAGATACAAACATTATTCTTTTGAGAGATTAATCCTCTAGTTACATTTATTAGTCTCCAGACTTGGAACACTTAATTGTTCTGGTACATGACTGAAATAAAACACTTGCCACAAAAATGGCGAGACTTGAAAATAAATCTCTCTACTGAAATAAAACACTTGCCACAAAAATAAATCTCTCGGAAGTAGTATGAGATGAGATTCTTGGCATTTTGGATGCCAGTCAGCATGTTTTCATTATGCAAGCTTCTTTAGGAACATAGGGTAACTTTTTGTGTTAATCCACACACTTTAACATACTTCTTGTTATGGTTTACATTTACAACTAAAACAAATCTTGGATATGGATTGTATCTATATGATGAATAAAAACTAGTTGATATCTTTCACTTGTGAGCTGACTTTAGTCAACAATGTAGATGCATTAAGCTCTGCTGCCAAAAAGTTCAATGAATGCAAAGTTATGGTTGCTTCTAGGGTTCCCTTGCGCCTTCAAGTGCAAAGGGCACTAAACTTCTGAAAGCCTGATGGCCAGTATGCTAGGCGGGGTAAGGCACTGCTTTCCCAAATCTCCAGCCTGGTCTCATCTACACTCTGCCCCCAGAATGCCTACTGCAGGTGTTCTGGGATCATAGTGTTTCTGCCTCAGAGTGCGTGGGCCCTCCCCTTGCTCTGGGGCTAGGGAAGTAAGGTGGTGCGTGGCCCACCCTCCCTGTGGTGGGGGTGCATGGCCTGCGCAGAAGGGGTGGGGCTTTAGGAGGCACCTTAACCAACTGCCCATGTCTGAAGGCCAGGAAATAGAGATGAGTTAATGCTTCACCAGTAACCCCCAACTATGATTCCTTTGAATGGTGTCAGGGACTCCCTATGGAAGATCACGTGACAGTGATCCTTACCAAGCATGTGAAGATCAATGGGGAGAATGGAAAACAAGATGGGGGAGGGGGTGGGATATTCTTGAGTACATAAATTATTAGAACCCATATATCTTTGACTTAAGAGGTAATTCTCAAACTGTAGTGCAGAGCAGGGATGTTAAATATCAGTTAATGTAATAGTTGGTTAACCTCATGAATTCTTATCAGTTACTATTCTATAGTCCCCAGGGATGAGACCAGCAGCCAAGTGTGCTCCAGCCTCACTCCTAGGGAGCCCTCTGCTACTCTGTGCTGCTGCCTCTTTCGAAAAACCAGCTCACCTTGTGCTGCTGCCTCTGATACAGAGGCAGCAGTGCGGGGTGGCAGCAGCCCCTGTCCAGGGGCAGGGGTCTGAGCTCCTCGACCCCATGCAAGTTGGAGCTGAGCCGGGCTGTCTGTCTGCCCGGCTCCTAATACACTTTAAATGCAGAGCTACAGCAGGGGTAGGATCCCAAATCCAGCACAAGCCCAGACTCAGCTTGGCCAGCCTGCCAAAAAATGTACCGGCAAGGGGTGTGTGTGTCGTCTATAGCATTAACCTATAAGCTTTTGTTTATTGGTAAATCGACTACACTATTCCAGCCCTAGTGCAGTGTGTATGTGTGCGCGTGCCAACACTTCCAGTATTTTCTAAGGACAATGGTGGAGCACAGAAGATAGGAGAGATTCATAGCAGCATGTGGATGCCAGTGGAGATCAGGCATTCTAGTGGGTACAAAGGCTTTACAAGGGATTATGAAAATAGTTCACCCCATTATGTTGCTTGTTCCTTTTGACATTCATATTGCATGCAGGGATGTGACCATATAACTGTCTAAATGTCTAACCGGTAAGTCTGGGCTTATTGGTTCATGTTGACAGCTATGTGTAGGCTGCAACCACATTCTAGAGGAGCCGGCTGACATCCCGCACTGCTGCCCGGGGTTGCTGCAGCAATTGAAAGGGCTTGCGGCTTTGGCACCTGCTGGGGTAGTGCCATGACTGGAATCTCTTTAAACAGTGGTAGCAACTCTGGGCAGCTCCCTGGCAACATGGTAGTGGCGGGGTTGGGAGCTGTGAGCCCTTTAAATAGAAGCAATTTAAAGGGCTTGCGGTTCGGGTCCCCGCTGCTACTGCATTACTTGGCAACTGCCTGGGGTTAAAAGACAGCTCCCGCCACTGTCAGGGTAGTACTGCAGCTGGGAGCCATTTAAATAGGATCCTCCTGCCTGGGCCACTACCTGGAAACTTGGTGGCATTTGGGAAGCAGGATGTAAATAGATAGCGTCCAGATGCAGTCTGTGGACTGGATTCTGCCCCTGGGCAGCATCTCACTCAGATCTGCTCTACAAAATACCTTTAAAAAAGGCAAGGGTGTTGGCATTTAAGACTTTTACCAAATTATGTATTTCTAACATTGATTCTGACACTGATTCCAAAGAATTTGCAAGAGCTGCTTTGCTTTTGGGGAAAACGTTTATTGTTGTCCAACTAATATTGTTCAAGATTTCTAGTAGTAAAAATGGGACATTGGAAACACAGGGCAGCTCATCTGCACATTGTATTGCTTTAAGTTTTATAATATTCTGACATCTTCCATCTGACTCATCTTGAAGTGAGGACTAACAAACAAGAACAGATGGATTCCTAAGGAGCAAATACCTTTTACAAAAATCAGAAAGAAACAGAAAATGCTTGGCCTTTATGCATAAGCAGATATAAAATATTTTTAGAACTCATTTTTGGGTGCAAAATCATGCCTGGTTTGAATAATATTGTGGCAAATGAGTCTTCTATAGAAGTGGTAAGTGGAGTTTAATGAAGTCTTTTATTTAATCCTTTTTCCTTCTCAAGCAAAAGGACAACCTCTCTGGCACAAGTGTTCCTCTGATTAACTTGTGTCTGTTCAGATCTCATAGGAAACTTGCTGGTGAGGTAGGGATGCTGTTTTAAATATTTATGCCTGGAATATGATATCCCCAACAAAGAGTCAGTAAATAATCTAAATGATTCTGAATCTCTTAAACAAATGTTTTAGTATTGCCCTCAATCTGTTACTGATTTGATCCACTAACACTTCAGGTATAAGGGACATGAATTGGTGGCAAACTGTATCTTCAGTGCACAACGAAGTAGTATTCCCACTGTTAGTCTGATTCAAAATAATGTAAATGACTTGCATGCCTGATCTACTCCACGGTTACCATTCTTGTGTTCCTACAGAAATTCCTTTTTAACTACTCTGCTCCTTGATTATCCTAGCATTGTTTGGTTGCAGTACCTTAATTCTTTCAATGGTGGTCAGCCAGCAATTTTTAACAGACAGATTGAGGGGCAAAGCATGTCCAAATAATTCTCC